CGCACAACTACAAACTTCTTATCCTGTACACTATTGTATGTTGTAAGGGTAATCCTTTTTCTTGCAGGATTTTGTTTATCTTTCACAAGAATGGTGACAGGAAATTCACAAAAGCAAAAGTGAAACCACCTCGTTTGGATGGAGATAAGGTTGGAGTGTTTGCAACTCGTAGTCCACATCGTCCCAATCCTATAGGACTGACCTTAGCCAAACTGGACAGAATTGAAGGTACCCAATGTTAATACTCTTATTTATATCATTGCTTATTGTAGTTTGAATTTCAGGGTGTGGCTATATGCAGATGTTCATGAATGATTCATTAATTTGGGCTTCAAGCTGCTATGTAGTGAGCAGAATACATATATCTTCATGGAATTGGTAATTGATTACAGTTCTTCACCCAGTGTATTCTAAGCAGTTAAAACTGGTCCTCACTTCTACACTAGGCCTACAAATATCACAAGTACTACTAAAGAAAAGCCCACCCTTTCCATAAAGTTTTGAGCTTCTCTACAAAATTTGGTGCAGAAACATTTAGAATAACTAGACAATTGGGAATGGATTGTTTTAATAAATAGGATGAAAATTAATTTCACACATGTATTTCTTTACTATTCTAGGTAACACTTTGCATCTATCTGGTGTTGATATCATCGATGGCACGCCAGTTCTTGACATCAAGCCATATGTACCCTCATATGACAATCCTGACAGGATTCATCACCATCAGACACCATCTTTGAACCCATGCCATGTGCTCGATTTCACTGACTTGGGTCCTTCAGATCCAATGCTGAGGGATAACCGAGATACTAGTGATGCAGCATGTTCTGTAAATGAAAAAAAAGTCTCCAGAGAGAACTTAGTGTCAGTGCTAAATCAAAAATCAACTTGCCATCCAAATGATACTTTGTTGAGAAGTCAAAGCAGAGCGACTGAGTCAAAGGTAACCTTAGACAGTCATGCCCAGAGGCATGCTTCTGATTTACAGCATGTGGAGACTGCAGGCGGCTCTTTACTGGGAGAGAGGAGTGATGAATGTTCACAAAGTTCACAGGTCGGAGTTGCTGATTGGATCAACAGTCCACCAATCACATCACTTGAAGTGAGGTTCACTACTCATGCTGAAACAGAACTTGAAAAGTTTCAGAAAGACAGTAGTGGTAGGTATTCAAAGAGTGCCATCTATTCTTATTTGTCGCTTCTCGTTCTCAAAGAAATATCTTTCTAGTTATGAATGATCCTTGTATGATGTAAATTACTCAGAGCTGCTTGAAAGCTTTGTCAAATAATTCCAAGGACAGGATTGAGTATTAAAAGCTGGAGTACGTGACAACGAAAAGGAAAGATGAAGTAATCCCGGGGATAGCAAGATGCGACTTCCCGATTTATGTGCAAGATGTACTGTCTTTATTCTGTATAGATTTCAGTCAACTGAGTTTTATACTCAAGAGTTGATTGTGGTGTGAACTTCAATAAATGTAGAGATCTAAAATGTAATGATTGCTTGTTCTAAAGTGAAATTCAGATTATTGACAAACATTCAATTCCCATTCGTTCATTTTTTGTAAAAAGCTAACTTTCAAAGCTAAATTTATTAAATTATAATTTACATATTAAATGGTAACAGCCTGTGAATTGTTGATTTATACATTGTATTGTGTTTATTGTTTGGTTTTTGCAGATCCAAGTTACTGCCTGGAACTCCTTCTTGACCAGCAAGAAGCAAAGCAAGCCATCTGCAATATTCTAGAAGCTGATCCTAGATCAACATATCGTCGAAATAATTGCAAAGACAGACTGTATTTTTTCACAGTTGACACACTTCATATAACCTGCTGGTTTGGGGTAAATTTTGTTGAAGTGGTGCGTATTCAGCCTGTCAAATTTGCTGATGATTTGTGATTTGCCAAAAGGGAATAGAACAGGAACCATGTCTACAATAGAAAGAACCAGAGAAAGTCATGACTGTATTTTCTAATGACCCTGTATAAATGCAAATTTCCAATTTCAGTTTGTACGGTTGGAATTGGAGACAGCCAAAACAGACACGAGTCTCAAATTGACGTATAATATTGTGCTAGTCATCCTGATTATGACTAGAGCAGGCTATTTGTAATGTAGAAACCATATTTTATTGAGTAACAGTAGCACTGTATAAGAAGTGCAAGAGTTGGAAAAAGCCCAAAGAATCATTCAGTGGGAGTAGAGAATTGTGAGAAGTGTGAAACATTCACTCAATGAGAGTAGATCACTGTTTGGTATTTCTGTAAACCACTCTGAACATCACTGCATTTTGAGTTGGCTTTTACCCGTTCTTATTTTTCCCTTGAAGTTCTTTAGAGTGTATGTTGGCTGTTACAGAGCTTCAGGTTTCAAATCAATGGCATGTGGCATGAGCTGCCAATGAAGCGAAACTAACCTCATTATGTACTGGGTTTGTATTTGTGCCAATCAAATTAATATTGCATTCTTTGAGATTGGAGTGCACAATTCATAAGGTGTTTATGGTCATAGTCTACGCCATCAAACATCATACATGTTCCAACAATGTATTCTTGCAATCATAATTCTAGGCCTGTTTGCTTTGAATAATGACAATCTGAATCAATATTCATCAGATGGGAACCTTGATACCAGGTACCACCAGACACCAAGGCTGGTGTCTATGTCAGTGTGTCATGGTTCAACTTACAAGAACAAAGCATTGTTTGGCCTTCACCTACTGCGGGTATCCTGGTTTACTTTCACTTACTTGTTTATGGGAAACATTGGTTTTGGGACAGTGTAATAATAACTCAAACTAGGTGTTTTTCTTGAACCCAGGAATGCACCTGGAATAGGAAACCTGGTTTCCTATATCCGTAGTTGCCTTTTTTTTTGTTTAGTGATGTGAGGTATCTGGATCCTGACAAGAAGGCACAGTAGGTTATGCTATACGATATGCACATTTACATATACCCTTTTTAAGGGATACTCCATTTCTTTCATTTTCAATTGTAATTAATATTTTTAACTTTAACAAAAACACAGTTTTGCTTATAATTGTTTAATTAAACTGATGCAATATTCCATGAGGTGTTCAATTTGATGCATAAACATGTTTATTCAGTATCGTAAAATGTAAGTCAAAGAGTAAAAAAAAGAAATTTTTTAATACAAAGCTAAACTTAACATGCAGTAAAGTCATTTGTAAAACTCAGCATTAAGAACAGCCACCAACATTTCAGAAATTCCTTAAAAATTGAAGTACCTGTTGTACAAGTACATGTTAAAAAATAAAGCAATACAATTAAAAAGAACAGATGCAAACATCCCTGCTTTTCTGCCATTTACTGAGAATGAAAAAGTGAAATGAGAGGCATCCAGTTTAACATTTCACAAAGAGAAATCTGTTTTTCAGGCAAAGATTCATTCTACCTGAGATAAATTTTACCACCACTTCAGTCCTGAGTTGCAACTCATCCAAAGATGGATTTATTATTCATTCCCCTTTGGCCATTAGTTTACTCTAAAGTGAATGTGCTGGGTTGTGATCAGTAGATCTCTGTGATAAGTAGATCTCTTGCTCTGCAAGATAGACAGATCGATCTTTTTCGACAATATGCTGATATTTTCACCTTCAGATGATCTGTTATCTAATTCATGGTTGTGGATGAATGGTTTAAAAAAGGGAAGTACAGTGTGTCAGAGATTTCATAGAGGATGAACTGATAGTGGAATAATATCATGCAATTGTGCTAATGGACTGATTGTGCCTAACAAATGGTTTTGGTTAACAGCTTGGTTAACATGTAAGTTCAGTCAAGTTCATATTTCTTGAATGAGAATCTAATTCATAGTTTCACAGGTGGAAGACAGATTATATAGCCAGGAAGTTGGCCCCCTTGTGGCTCGCTCCCAGAATCCTTGAATAGGAAAAACAGCGTGCAACAATGTTAATTTTTTTTCCATTCTTTTCCTTTAAAAAATCACCTCTGAAAATGGTGTTGTAAAATATTTGTTAGGACATTAATTTATAGGACTGAAAAAATTGCCTGACCTGAGAGAGAAATATCCTGCCAAAAAATTCGACCTCTCACTTCCGAACATCTAAACTACATGAAGACCAGTGCAGAGTGGTGGTCTTGCAGATGATCAGTTTATCCTATAATCTGTGTTTATGAAAGATTCTAATCTAACCATTACCTGACAAGAACGGTGTCAAGTAAACTCGAGTGAATCTAGAATCCAGCGACTGCAGGTAGGTAATCTTTGCAACATTTAACTATCTTGTTTTCCTGCAAGCTTATGAACAGAAAACAAAAGTGTATGAACAAGGAGACCTAAGAACTATATTGTCGGAAGTGAAAGGTCATGAGTGAATTTCGTTTGTGACCCATCTTCAGGTGACTTTTCCAATACATTTCTTGAGGAACATAAAGGTGAAATTCTGACATCAGTGTTTCTTAGGTGGTTTCAGAAATCCCAAAGACGGACTGCGTGAAGATGCCAGAAGCTTTCATGCTGTCTCAGTTAGTTTACGGATGATACAGGTGGCAAGCTTGTACAACGCATGCAGAAATTGAACATTACAAACCATCTGATTAAAATTGATCTTTGGGGTTCACAATCTGTGTCAACAAAATTCTGTTTGTCCAGGAATCCTCTAGATCATCACAACAAATTTTTTATTCTCACTAAAAGTTCACAGTTATCTTCTGCTTCTGCACTGTTTGATTGGAATCATTCTCCACCTGTATTTCGAATGCATCTTGCCTATGACATCTCCCTGCACCATCCTTGTACAGATCGGCTTGCAGTCTTGCATGCCAATGCTTTTGTTGCACAGGGTATGCACAAAGGAGGTTTCCCTGAGGAACAAAAGAACTGCTCTACAAGATGGCTACCACACAACACCTCTATAGCTGAACAGCTGGATAAGGATTCCAAGACTCAATGGTGTCTAACAATAAGAACAACAAAGTATACAAATCATCGAATTTATAAACTGAAGTTAAGTCTGAAGAAAAGTTACGTATACAATATAAAATATAGTATAAATGCTTAATTATATCTGAGCAGACGTTAATGATTACTGTTCCTTCTTCATGTAATTGTTACCTCAAAACAGCTTCTAGGATGACTTTGTTACATTAGCTCAGGATTGTCTTGTTCAACAGTCAGTACTCATTTCGTGCAAGTCTTGTGTAGGACAGGTAGTTATTACTGATGTCTACAGCATCACAGTTTGGGAATATTCCTGCCCAGAGCACGTGTACATGCCTTGGTATCTTGATGAGAACTTATTGATCTGCAGTCGAGTTACCCTCTCAGATATGTAGATGGCCTGAACCTTTCGTCTTTCCCCTATGTGGTAAAATTGAAAACAAGAATTGAAAAAAATCACCACTTTCATTTAATAACTGATAAACATTTCAGAATCTGTCTCATTCCTAAATCAGCACTCGAATGGGTTGCTTTTATAGTCGCACAAAGACAGGTATTCATTACTCATACATATACATACCCAAGACGGTTTAACCACTCTTACTTGCTGAGCGCAGATTTTAAACAGTTGATAAAGCACCGACTTATGGGTGTCATTATGATTAGAAGGCCATTTGAAAAACTATAGTAAAGTTGTTGAACAAAATCGTTGGAAATTTATGACTTTTTAACTTGTTTTGACTTTCTGATTCAGAAAGTATTCATCAATAGAATAGCATATTCAGCTAGACCTAGTGATCAAGGAGAAGGAATGTTGATAATATCCTGAGCTGGAAAACCCCCCACTGACATGTCAATTCTTTTGATATTTTCTTGAATCAGGACTGACATATCCTTTCCATGACGATTGTTCTCCCTGAAGAAGACTTGTAACATACCAGTTTTGACTTTGGATCCACCAGGAGCTGTCCATTTGGGCTGTTGGCTTGGCAGTAAGTTGTAGGTACAGTCAACATACCGACTTTCTCCTGCCTCAGAGCCTGAGCCTATCACCTCACCAATTGATACTTCCTTCACTGCAAGAGAGAAAAAAGATGCCAGAGGACATCTGCAATAATCAAGGTTGATACAAAGATGGCATTTTTGCATATTTGATGAATGAAACAGCACATTTTTTGCTTTGCTCAACGGTACGGAACTAGTGAAGCTATCACCTGTAACATGTAGGGGTGTTGCAAGAAAGTTACCGCATTTACAACAATGATGGACAGAAGGTGAGATGTAATTAACCACTTCGGACCGGGGCATTCTTCAACGTTGAGGATGCTGGGCCGGCATGACTATCCTTTTTTCCGTTTTCAAAATCCTTCAACAATTTATCATTCCATTTAACAGTAGTTTATAGCCGCACAGAGTAATCTTCAGGCACTACTCCAAGTTGACAGCTGA